GCCCAACCTTCCTTCCGAGGAGTGGCTGGTGGATTTGAACCGTCAGCCGTCTGGTTAGCAGGCAAGTGTCTTAGCCACTATGCTACCAGAGCTCCAAAATATCAACTAAGAGCATCAGTAGGAATATTAACTTAATCTAGGACTTCATGATGTATATTAAAATAACATGACATATTTGTGCTTTAATATCATTGGCTCAAATTATATTCAGACAGTCCTTGAGATTTTGCCAAAGTGCAAGTTCTAGCAATATGTTGTTGTTGTTGTTGTGCCGTCGAGTTGTCTCCAACTCATAGCAATCTTATGAGCAACAGAATGATACACTGCCCGGTCCTGTACCAACCTCATGATCCCTACTATACCTGAGCCCATTGCTGCAGCCACTGTGTCAATCCATCTTGTTGAGAGCCTTCACCTTTTTTGTTGACCCTCCGCTTTACCAAGCATGACACCCTTCTCCAGAGAATGGTCCCAAGGCATGTGACAGCAATACAATGATTTCTCTTTGTAAAATATAAGATTTAAAAGTCAGAATTGCAAAAGTAAAAAATTTATGAGGAAGGATAGCCATTAGTGAAATGGTTAAGACTTTTATCAATATTTAGTATATACAGCTGTTCCAAGTGTTAGGATAAAGGAGGAAAGTGTCAAAAATATTAACAACAGCAACAGTTTCGTTTATACTAATGTTTACTGAGCATCAGCACATCTTTATGAGTGCCTCTTCTAGGCACTGAGGATACGGCACAGACCAAAACAAAGGCTCTACTGTCATGGGGCTTACATTTTAGACAAAATATAAACAGATCAATATATAATATTCCAGGAAGTAGAAAAGACTTGGGGAAAAAAAATCAGGGTAGCAGAAAGAGGGAATACCAGCTGATAGGATGAGTTATAATAAAGAGCATAACCCAAAATAGCAATCCCTATAGGGTTTCCAGGGCTGTAAATATTAACAGAAGCAAACTGCCTCATCTTTCTCCCATGGAGCAGCTGGTAGGTTTGAACCACCAACCTTTTGGTGAATAGCCCAATGCTTTAAACACAGTACCACCAGAACACCTCTAAAGGGCATGGAGCTGATAGTTTAACCCAGTTCTCATTGTGTGCTACAACTTTTTTCACTGTACTATGCCACTTGTAAGAATTTATAGTCTAATTGGTAAAGTTAGGGGAATTATACATACTTAATCTGACTAAAGAACAAATTCAAAGTAATATATTAGTAAGTACAAGAAGATGTAATATAACTTGGCATCGATATGAGCATGAAGAAGGGAAAAGGAGATCACAGAAGCATAGATTAAAATCATATTCCTTAAAATCTTAATTTGATTACAGGAAAATAAATAATATATAATGCTGAAGAGGTTGTGTCATTTGAAAAAATGAAAGCCATGCTCTTTTAAGTAGTATTTAATGTTTTAAAATAATTCATTTTATAAAGTTGGCAATAATGCTATATTAAAACTGGAATAAGATAATTTAATAAAACTATAGGCTAATTTCATATATGAACATGTATGCAAAAATTCTAAATAAAATTAGCAAATTGATTTAAGCAATATGTAAAAATAATGATACACTGGAACACATTTGGTTTTATTCCAAAAATGTAAGGATGATTCAACATCAGGAAATCTATCAACATACTTCTTGCATCAACCAAGTAAGGAAGAAAACCCATTATTCTATCATTAAATGCAGAAAAAAAAAATATTTATAAAATTCAGCAGCCATTTCTAACAAAAATTCAAATTCAAATCACATTAGGAAGAAAGTATTTAGATATGATAAAGTCCATTTATAAGACTGTACACTGAACCCCTCAGTAAAATTGAAGACTAGTAAGAAATAAAACAGAAATATCTAAGTTATATAACTGTGATACAGCAAAAACTATATATATATATATATATATATATATATATATATATATATATATATATATATATATATATATATATATATAGTGATAGCACTGGCCTCTGACCACTGATGCCCTGACAGCAGTCCTACACGTTCATATTGCTGTGTTGTTATTGTCAGATTCTCTGGAGTGAACTGAATGAAACTCCTAACAACCTCATGTGACAGAGTAGAACTTTTTCACAGGGTTTTCTAGGCAGTAGTCTTTATGGAAGCAGATCTCCAGATCTTTCTCCCATGGAGCCACTGTGTGGGTTCAATTGTCAACCTTTCAGTTAACAGCCAAAACACTTAATCATTTGTACAACCAATGCTCTAGGACTTCAACCCCTCACCAAAAAAATAAGAAATAAAAAATAGAACGAGGAGGCCTTCAGTTCAGAGCTCCTCTTAAGCAATGGATTCCTCACTCTGCTCAGAAGGCTGATCCACGAAGGGTGATGTGGGATTCATGAAGAATAATCACGGTACTTGGAACCACATGACATGTAGTTCTACTCTGGTAAACTGTTTGTTTGCAGGTTTGATAATGAACCTACCTAAACATAGTTGACTCTGAATTGTCATTCTCACCAACATTTGAAGATTTTTTTTTCAGTTTTTGAAGTCTTTGTTGTCTAACTCAAACCACAAAGAAAAAAAAAAGAAACATCATAAAATCCTGTCAAAGAATATATAATAATAATAATAACTAATATTTATTGAGTTCATGTTATGTCCCAGGCATTGTTCTCCTTTAATCCTTATAACTATCAGATAACTATCAGTTAGCTGCTATTATTATCCCCATTTCACAGACAGGAAAACTGAGAATTGAGAGAGTAAGTAAGTAAGGTGCCCAAGATTGCACAGCAGTAAAGGCTGGGATTCACTCTTAGTCAGTATGTCCCAGACTCCTTGCTCCTCTCTAATAAATGGATAATATACCATGTTCCTGGATACCAAAAAGGAAAAAAAAAAAAAAAAACTTCACTGCCATGGAGTAGATAGTGACCCCCATTGGGTTTCCAAGGCTGTAAATCTTGATGGAAGCAGACCACCCCGCCTTTCTTCCATGGAGCCCCTGGTGGTTTCCATCCACCAGTCTTGTGGTTAGCAGCCAAATGTCTTAACCACTACACCACCAGAACTCCTGGATGGAAAAACTTAATTCCACAACAATGTCAATCCTTTCAAAGTTGCCATATACACATAACATTGTTTTATTTTGTTGTATTTCAAACTGGATGTGGTGATTTTAAAATAGAAAGGGAAAACTAAAGATGCTAAACTACTCTGATAAATTGTGGAAGATGAGAATAGTGAGATGATAACTTCCCTAATAAAATTCACTCAAAAGCCACTGAATTACAATCGTATATTGGCATACAAATAAACAAGTGGTACCTGAGAGACTACAGAGTTTAGATATAGATACAAGCGTATGTTGGAACTTGACTTATTGTAGAAGTGGCATTATATTTCATTGAGAGATGATGGTTTGGTGACCAGCAATTTGTGAAAAAACAAAATGAAAAAGATCCCTCTATTGTATTATAACAGAATTCTAAATAAGCATTTAAATGTTAAAGTGAAATAGAAAGGTTAGAAGGAAATAAAGAAGAATTTTATATAATCTAAAGGTGAAGGGCTCCTCCTAAAGGAAACAAAGAAACTCAGGGGCCTTTAAGCAAAAGATACCAAAACCAAACCAAACTCACTGCCTTCAAGTTGAACCCCACTCATAGCGACCCCTCCTTGGGTTTCTGAGGCGGTATCTCTATGGATGTAGATTGCCCAACCTTCCTTCCAAGGAGTGGCTGGTGGGTTTGAACCACCAGTCTTCTGGTTAGCAGTCAAATGCCTTAGGCACTATGCTACCAGAGCTCCTAAAGTAAAAGATAATCATATATTATTAGAAAATAATTTAATTTTTTTACAAGGTTTTAAGACTCCTTCTCCCAAAAAAAGTTAAAATTCAAAAGACAGATTGGGAGAATACAGTTGTAACACATAGTAAAGACAAGTTAGTTCCTCATAATCTAAAAACGACTTCTACTAATTTATAATAAAAAGACAAACAACTCAATAGAAAAAAAAGTATAAAGTATGGGTAAACAATTTAAATAAGAGTATATACAAATAGTCAATAACATTTGAAAAGATTTCCCTCACTAAAAGGCTGTAAATCTTTATGGAAGTAGGTTGCTGCATCTTCCTCCTATGAAGCAGCTGGTGTGTTTAAACTGCCAACCGTCTGGTTAACAGCCAATACCTTATCCATAGCACCACAAGAAAACCTATCCTACAGATTAAAAAAAAAAAGTCACTAAAAGTCAAGCAAATGCAAATTAATTAAAGGGGGAAAAAAGAAAGAATCAAACTCATTGCTTTCAAGTTGATAATGATTCATGGCGATCCCATTTGTTACAGACTAGAACTGAGTTTCCTAGAGTTCTCTGGACTGTAATGTTTATGGAAGGAGATTACCAGGCCCTTCATCCAAGTTGTCACTAGGAGGGATCCACCTGTGAACCTTTAGGTTAGGTTAATAGTAGAGAACAAACCATTTGTACCACCCAGGGACCTTAATTAAGGAAAAACAAAAAAAATATATAAATAATTATGGCAAAAATTAAAAGGATTAGTAATTTCAAGGCCTCTCGAAGATACAAATCATGGACATTTTCATTGTTTGTGATCAAGTGAATTGCCTAATAATTTTTTCAAAAAGGAATCCATTGAAAATGATTAAAATTAAAGATATAGGTACTTTTTGGTGTAGCAATTCTTGGTAAAGTAGGCAATTCAACAGAAATACATTGGTATGTATGCATATATTTTCAAATATTGTTGTTAGCAGTAAAGTAATATGAAAAGGATAATAACTGATTATGGCTCAACAAGGTAATAATTGAATAATTTGTTTTCAACAATGAATGAAATATTATGCAAAAGCAAAAAATGATGGAGTATGGCTATGATATACTGTTAAGTGCATGCAGATAAAAATAATAATAAAATAATCTATTATCTTAAAATTTGAAAGAGAGAGAATGAAAGAGAGAGACCTTACATAGGTGTAGATATGTTTGCTTTGTTTATATGATCATACAAGGAAGTATGGAAAAACACATGCTAAGCTATTATTTTTTCACCTTCAGAGATGGCAGTGGAAAGTGATAGGAAGAGGTGAGGGACTATAATTAATTTTCCTTTATATTTCCTTGTCCTCTTTTGCTAATTGCAAAGTGAAAATATAGTATTTGAAATTAAAAATTAATATGAACAATGTTAAAAAGAAAAGAGGAAATTTTGAAGAACAATTTTATTCTAACAAATGTTTCTTGCATATATATTCTGCATAAGGAATTTTACCAGGGAGTCTGCTATTGAAAGGAATTACTATATAGAGTCAAATATTTCCACATGCCCTTTCCTTGTGGTACATTCATATTTTGTATTGATCAAGCAGTCTTAGAATTACACAATCATATAAATGAGAATAGCAGTTGTCACTTCCTTTTACACATGAGCAATCAGGGGGCCATGGACATTAAATGTTTTATTCAAAGTCACCCAGTTTAAGTGGCATAGCCTGGATCGAATACTTGGACACATTTATTTTTAATAATGACTCCAAGATATTTTCAGGAGGGTGATCAAATTAGATACCATTTCTGTTAGATTACGAACTTTAATGACAATGTCTTCTCCATCTTTTTATAAAGGATATTTTATATGTTCCTTCTAAAATCTGCCATAGAAGTCTGTCTATACCTTTTGACTCACCACTGTCAAAAGATATATTTTCTAAGTCTGTCATATTTTAAGTGGGAAAATTAGCTAATTTTTGGATGTAAACCTTTAAAGGAGAGAAAATAAGGGGTTTTTAGATCTTCAAATGATTGTCTCCAGAGTTATTACATCAAATCTCTTAATCTCTCCCTATAGCTATCTTATTCAAGTTTTATCTTATGAATGCATTTTCACAGACTCAATACCAAATTCCAGATCAATTCACTGTTAGCTCAAATACTAACACAGACTATCTCCCACTTTGTACTCCTTTCAAACTCTGCCAAGCGCTGACTGAATTCTCAGGATATTCTGTTTCTAGAAGCAAGGGGGTGGAATACTACAGATAAATCAAAAACCAAACCCACTGCCATAGAGTTGATTCCAACTCATAGTGACCCCCATAGGGTTGCTTTAGATATGAGCTAAATGGAATTGACCCTATGGCAGTGATTTTTTTTATAGAGGCATGTTTTCTGTGGTCTTTTTTACCTACAAGAACATGTGTGTTTTATCACTAGAACTTTGCAAAATTTAGCCAGAAAAGGAAAGAAAATGTAGATGCTTTGGTGTTCCACTACAAAATGCTTTTTTTCCTTCTTCTTTTCTTGGTACTCAAGTCCATGAGTTAGGTAAACAGGATCATCCTTTGCTGGCTTTGTGAAAAGGTCTCTCTTTATCTCTTATCTTGGATTTTTCCTTTTTTTTTTTTTTTTTTTGAGAATCAAGTATATTATTATTGCCTTACCTGCTACATTTATGTAGAAGAGTGATTCAAGAACCCAGTATTTTGAATCTTCAGAAAATGCAAATAAGAATTCATCTACCCCTCCTACAAAGAAAATAAAAATAAAGAAAAAGTAGTGATATATTTACAATGCACATTAACAATGCAAAGCAAAGTATTCTGATGCTTTGTTTAATTGAGTTATAAACAAGAAAACTATCAAATCCTGCCGCTGCCCTATTGCCGCATGCGGATGTGTGAACTTTCTCCATGTGTTTGCTCTGTGTCCTTCAGAACACCCACAGTGGAGATGAATCACTAAGGTGTGTATTAGTCTGACAGTCCTAGAAAGTCAACACTCAAAGCCAAACCCAAGAAACAGCATTTCATTTAGTTCCTGGTGTACTGCTAATTGATCCCAAACCCTTCATTACTGTCTAGTGCAAAAGGGCTAAGTCGAAAGCAGGCATTTAGAAAATGACTTAACTGAAAATAAGACAGAGCAAAATTCTAGGCCCTGGGTATTTCAGTTGCTCTGTTCTTGTATTGTCAGACTAATTCTAAGTTTATCTTTTATTTCAGGTTGCTTGGATACCCCCACTCATCCAGAATGGAGACATACTTACCTATGAGATCCGCATGCCTGACCCTCATATCACAATAACTAATATTTCTTCCTCAAGGTTAACTCAAATAATTGCTCACCTGACTCCATTCACTAATTATTCTGTCACTGTTGTGGCTTGCTCAGGGGGCAATGGGTATTTAGGAGGGTGTACAGAGAGCTTACCTACCTATATTACCACCCACCCTACTCTGCCTCAGGATGTCAGCCCATTGTCAGTGGTTCCACTAAGTGAATCATATGTTGGGATTTCTTGGCAGCCACCATCCAAACCCAATGGACCTAACTTGAGGTAAGAGAAAGTGGCTATGCTTTTGCATTTTACTCTTTGGTCTTACCTCTCTGGAAAGTAAGGAAGGAGAATTGCAGCTCTCATGTGTAGATATAGGTCTGTTTTCTTATTGGATATACCCCCAATCATGACTTTCATTAAATTTAGTATCATTTGTGTTGACTCATAAGAAACCATAAAAATTCATCTAAGCAGAAATATGATATTGTGAAGAACTTAGAATCTTAAGGTAACTATTATAAACTCTTCTAAGGATTCCCTACATAGTCCTTCCTTGATGTTTCTTTCATGTTTTTATTATATAGTTTTTATTATATATTTGCATGCCTATGATTCAAAATTCAAAAACTAACCCAAAAGGGTTTTATTGCACACCATTTTTATTATTTGGAAATTTATAATGATTGTGGTCTAGGATAGAGAAAAGATGAAAGAAAAGAGTTGTGATTCTGTAATGGTTTTATGACAGCCTGAACTCAAAACTTAGCCAAGAATATGGAACTCATAATATTATCATTGTTTATAACGTATAGATGGTAGTAGTCTAAGGAAATCATTACTTCATAAGCATTTTGCATTTCAACTTTGTGTGAAACTGGCCATAAGGTTTTAGCAAATTGCACATGGAAGAAAAGTCTAAAACATTATAGTTCTTGCTGTTAATAGTAAAATGGGAAAGTAACAGAGTGTTTCAAAATAATTGAATAGATGAAGACTGGAATCAGAAAACTGCTTATCTGGGAGAAAAAAAAAAAAAAAAAAAACTTTGTACTTGTAAACATAAGATGTTTTCTTTATGTTTGCATCCATACACTACACATACCACATAAAAACCTGTATTTTGGTAATAACATTACTTGAGATAATCCCAATGTGCCTGCTTGTCTTTTGCTTTAGATATGAGCTTCTGAGATGTAAAATTCAGCAACCACTTGCATCAAATCCCCCAGAAGATTTAAATCTGTGGCACAATATTTATTCAGGAATTCAGTGGTTTTATGAAGATAAGAGTCTTAGCAGGTGAGATTACAAAAACTATAAAAACAAATGCTGGCATTTAGTTTTACCTATGTTGAATAGTTCAAAGTAGCTGAGTGTCTTCATTGTGTGAGCATGTTATCAGTTATGCAATAAAACACGTTTGGTTATTATCTCTGGCAGTAATCATAGAACTGCAACAGTCAGCACATTTAACGTTTGCCATCTTAACTACGTGTTTAAAATAAGCCTTTTGAAGTCAAACTTTTAGATGCTTAAGCCTTAACCTATTGCCTTTGTCACAGCTCTAGCCAGACATGCAAACATACTAGATAAATTTGGAAATAGTCAACATATACACATGGGAAAATTACTGAACACATGTAAAATGCTTGTTATTTCTGGGAATTAGTTGATTATAAATCACTGATTCAATATATAAAAATAATTCAGTAAACAGGCTTGGGATTTGAAAGAATTCAATCTAGAGTTCAAACGCATCAAGAAACAGGCAAATAGAAAATGTAAGAAAAAGAATACGGTGTGTTCTGTTTCTTGCTGTGCCAGACAACTGGCTTTGTGGGCCTAGATAAAAGTCACTTAACTTCTCTGGCCTTCACTTTCTTTGTCTATAAAATGAGAAGACTGGATGATATTAAATGACTTAAAACCTTTTATGACTCTAAGCCCATATATTCAAATTTTTTAAAATATGAATATCATTTTATGAAAACTTTTCAGACAATGTATTGTTCCATAAGTTTTCAATCAGGTTGACTGTATTTCTAAATCTATCACAGAGGAGCTATACCCTGAATGCTGTTTCCACTCTAACCCTGTCTCTCACCTCTTCCTTACCTAGGACTCTGCGTTCCAACTGCATTTGCTTAACTTTGAGTAACTAACAAGCAACACTCTCTCACTCATCTTCTACCCATTGCTGACTTTTCCCATTGTCTGACTAGATCATCCTTCAAATCTTAGCCTAGAAGTCGCTTCCTCCAGGAAGCCTTCCTTGACTCTCCTGGTAAGAATCAGGTGGTCTTTCAAGGATTTCCATAGCACACTCCTAACAGAACACTATTATTTTGTGCCCTCAAGTTGTTTTTTGACTCATAGCAACCCTATATGATAGAGTAGAACTGCCCCCAGGGTTTCCTAGCCTATAATCTTTATGGGAGCACATCACTAGGCTTTCTCCCACAGAGCTGCTTGGTGTTTTTGAACTGCAACCTTTTAGTTAGAAGCTGAGAACTTACCATTGCACCACCAGGGTTCCTTAACATAACATTATTGTCATTGTAATATACTGCCCTGGCTGCTTGTCTGAATACCCCATTATACTGTCAGGCTCACCATGAGAAAAGGCTATGTCTCGATGATTTTTGTATCCTCAGTCCCTAGTATGTTGTTGTTGTTGTTGTTATGTGCCGTCGAGTCAAACCCGACTCATAGCGACCCCTCCTTGGATTTCCGAGGCAGTATCACTACGGAAGTAGGATTGCCCAACCTTCCTTCCGAGGAGTGGCTGGTGGGTTTGAACTGCCAGCCGTCTGGTTAGCAGGGAAGTGTCTTAGCCACTATGCTACCAGAGGTCCCCAGTCCCTAGTATAGTGCCTGATAAATAAGAGTGCTCAAATATTTGTTGAATGAAAGAACATGTTAACTCAATAAAGCATTGGTTGTTTAATTTCTCTGAGCCATAAGGATATGAATATGATTTTATTCTCCTGGGGAAATGGGTTAAACTAAGGAATGTCCTACTGCCCATCTCGAAGTGTTAGTGGGAAAACACTATATATACTCCAAGCTCTTAGAGAAGAGCAACTTGTAAATCTAACCAAGCATTACAGTGAACAATATAAAATTACCACTTTTATAAGTCAATTATTATTCTTGTTGTTGGTGTTAGTTTTCCTCAAGTTGCTTCTGACTCATGGCTGCCCATGCACAACACTGCCCAGTCCAGCACCATCTCTGTGATGATTAGTATGCTCAAGTCTATTGTTGTATCCACTGTGTATTTTGAGTGACTTCTCCATCATCTAGCACTAATTGGATGATAATCTGTTGTGATCCTTAAGATTTTCATTGATAATTTTTGGAGGTAGATTGCCAGGCCATTCTTCCTACTCTATCTCAATCTGGAAGCTTCTTTGAAATTTGTCTGATCATGATGACCTTGCTGGTATTTGAAATACAGGAGGTACAGCTTCCAGTATCACAGCAACACTCAAGTAACCACAATTTGACAAATTGACAGGCAAGTGTTGGGGTCAATTATTAGCAGATCCTTATTATTCAAACTGTATTGTCACAGTTGTTACACTATTCATAACTACTTTTGATTCATTATTTGCCTAATTGGGTATCCCTTTAGGATAGTAATTTCAATTGATGAAATTTGCTTTTTCAGCAATTTCATTTTGCTCACTATATATTGAGGCACTGTGATAAGGAACAAAACATAAAAAGAAAACACAGAAAAAAACTTAGAAGAATTTTGGAGGAAAATACAATAACTAAATGACAAAATAAATGAAAAATTAGAAATGATTCTAAATCTACAGATAGAAATCCAGAAGATTAATACTAAGTTGTTAGAAATAGATAACACATTGGAAGGGCAAAGG